TTAACAAACAGACATGCGAGTGCTATCAATCTTCTTATCTAATGCCGTGTTTAACACCTGGCATTAACATGCATTGAGATTCCGGTGGCACCATATTCGGAGGTGGTCACTTATGGCCACATTTATTTAGAAGTGCGTAGCCTACGCGAATGTGTCTTGGGCTACAGTGAAGGGCCACCAACTCGTCCTCTGCTTAAGCGAAAGTCTGCACTCATTCTAGCCTCATATTAAAGTGTGAAATAACGAGACAAAGCTACAACAACATTGCAAAATGGATTCTAATGAATGGAGTACATACATAACATCCCGTCTGTCCTTTCAGCTGCTCTGCCTCAACTCTTGTTGAGGTTTGTTGTTAAGGCTGTTTCTAGCCTATGAGGAAAGCGTCATAAGCTGCTTTCACACAGAGATCCCACAATAAACACGGAAAGACTGCCCACCAATATGCCGCATTCACTCATTCATACTGAACAAAACATTGCGGCATAACCCCCCAACCGTGTTTGGGGAAACTTTTCAACTCACCGCTGATTTCCAGCAGTGAAGCTGCTTCGTCTCTTTCACCAGGTGCCAAATGACACACAAGCACTTGTCCTGTCAAGACTAAGTAAAGCTGTAAGAAACATTTCCATATAATACACAAAAAGCCATCGCTCTAACAGCTTGATGACGCCAGTAATTTTAAACATTTTATATCTGAAAAGGGCTAAAGAGCACTCTAAACCATTTTGAGAGTAGCTGGAAATATTGCCATTCCTACATGCTGCTTTTCCTTTGACAAGGCACAAGATGGTGAGATTTACTGGACCTCTTAAAAGGCCATGTTGCCTGAATTTATGTTGTGGGTTGTGGTGATTAACTTCCCACCTGTGTCGACTGTGTGTGTGTGTGTGTGTGTGTGTAATTTGTGACTGATTCACTCTGTGGATGGACAGATGACAGCATAATTTTGCTATTAGTGTGTGAATTCATTATAATATCAACGCGCTAAATAACATTCTGCTTTCATATCATATTTCTTTTGACAATTTTAAATGTACGAAAACAAACAATCAAATGCAGCATAGAGATGCAGTTTACTACATACATAGCTTCACATGGAGGAGATGTGGGGTTGTTTTGCTCCGCTGAACAGAATGAATCCTGTCAGCTGGTAATCAATCACACTGTCATAAACACAGTGGGGAACATTTTTTTCCGGGAGAAAGAAAAACGTGTTTTCTCCCACAAGCTGAACTGATCATGGTACAATTCTCAGAACAAGATACAGAGATTCACAGTCCTGTGTCTTGTGTATAGGCCTAATTATTTGTAAATTGACAAATACATTTTAACAAAGCTGTTTGCAGCTTTTGAGCAAAACAAAAACATGACTAAATATACATTTTTGACATCTCAGAGGTTGCAAACCTACTGCTGTACGATAAATTATTACACAGACTGATGGTGACGCTAACACAAGCAACTTTTAGATCTGTTTCACCATAAGGTAATAATAGTAATAATAGGAAGAAGAAGAATACATTAGTAAATGGGCTTCTACAATCTTTGGCATCCTGCTCTTTATTTCCTATTTTTTTCTCTTTAATTGTTTTCTTTGTTTTCTGACGTTATGTTTTTGGTGAATTGTGTTTGCAAAGTGCAACCCTACAGAGTTAAAAGTCATTGCCATCATTTGGTTATTATATTATAATTTCTCACAGTACATTTATTCATTTAGCTGACGCTTTATATGTCAGAGGTCGCACACCTCTGGAGCAACTAGGAGTTAAGTGTCTTGCTCAGGGACACATTAGTGGATGTCTCACAGTGGGAACCCAGGTCTCCCACACCAAAGGCAAGCATCTTATCTATGCGCCATCACCACCCCCAGTAAAATAAGATCAAACTTTATTGATCCAAGGAGGTAAATTTAGTATCACTGCAGTACAAGAAGAAGACCAGAAACGTAGACAGGAACAGGATGCAGATTAAAATATACTGACGCTAAACCATCTTCTCACTTGAAATCTTTAACATAGCGTAATAAGTAGATACCGATTTAATTTCTTTATTATTATTTTGTAGTAATATAGGTAACACTATATTTTAACTCTCCCTATTCAGCATTTCTAAACAGTACAATAACACTTAAAAATTGTTTACAACATTACAGTGCAGTTGTGAAAGTGATTATTAATATATTTAATTTATTTTTAACAACTCCTGTGGTTATCCTTCCTGATGTATAAACAAATAATTAATGTATATATAATATAGTAAAACACAGTTGTAGTAATATAAAATATGTACATTATTATTCTGTGTTCAATTTGTTTGTATTTGTAAATGTTAATATGCTGCTTTTAAATGCTCAGTGGGGGACTAGTAAAGTGTTGATGTGATATATGATATAGCCTACACATGCCTTCACACATGCTCAGTGTCGCTCCCTTTTCACAGACACACAGATTACGTAACTATGCCAATAATAATTAATTATGTTTGACAGTGAGGTGAATTTGACTCATACGGAAATCTCCATTAGTCTGTCTATCTTAAAGCATAAAACATATTCATTTAGATGTGTGCTTTATTGAGAGAGACAGGCTACAATCCAAATATTTTAATTAATCTATCTTTATATGATTACAACCCCCCTTTACAATACATTAAGGTGCTAATTAAGGGAAACTACATTAGGTCCTAACACGACTGTACTGTATTCATCTCTGTTTTTGACAGCTTACTTTATAAAAAAGATCAGGGCAACAGAAACTTTCCACTTTGTCATTCAAGTAAAGATGAAAAAAAATTAAAAGAGATGGAAAACAACAGGAATGGAAAATAACCACTATGGAAAATAACCTCAGACTAATGCAAAATGACTACAAAGAGACACAAAACAACCAGAAAGAGACAGAAAACAACCACAGAGATGCACCATAAACAAAAATGACTATAAAGACATGCAAAACAACCACAAAGAGACTCAGCCTGACTACAAAGACACACAAAATGACTATACAGAAACATAAAGATACAAAACAACTACAGAAAAGCAAATGCAAATCACATGAATCAATCACATGAAAGAACCACAGAGGGACACAGGCCGACTACAAAGACAAGGCAAAACAACTATAGCCCCTTTTCCACTGCACAGTACCAGCTCCACTCGCCGCCACTCGACTCACCTTTGTTTGGTTTTCCATTGTGGAAAAGTTGTACCTGTACCTGCTTCCAGGTACTTTTTTTTCGTATCACCTCCGTTGAGGTTCCAAGCAAGCTGAGGAAAACTCGGCTGGGCGGCTGTGGCTCAGGAGGTAGAGCGGGTTGGCCGTTAATCGGAAGATAGTTGGTTCAATCCTGTTTGCATGTCAAAGTGTCCTTGGGCAAGATGCTGAACCTCAAATTGCCCCGGGCGGATGTTCCGCCAGTGTATGGATGTGTGTGAATGTTAGTTTCTGTCTGAGCACTTAAGCTCAGTGTATGAAGGTGTATGACTGGTGGATGTAGTGTAAAAGTGCTTTGAGTGGTCGAAAAGACTAGAAAGGCGCTATACGGAACATTTACATTTAAAATGTAACATGAAAACATGACAGACTGCTGATTGGTCACTATTCACTGCATCATCATCGCCTGTGCCAGACAGAGGCCAGCAAAAGAAAGTTTTATATTTTACAGTTTTCATATGGAATTTCATCACTAAATCCACTTCTGGGAAGTTTTGAGGTGAGAAATCAACTGTGTAGATTTCAAATATTGACAGTTTTACAAGAAGTGATGGTGGAACAAAAATGCTTGAATATTTTCAGAGTTGAGGAGCTCCGCAAGCGGCTGCGGGGGAAGCCTGTGCCAACCCGCGGGAGGAGTGTGCGGCCGGACAGCCGCCCGCTCACAGAGAGAGCCCTCTGCTACCGCCATCACACAGACCGCTGCAGCAACAACGGCAGAGGAAAACACAGCTGGAAGGTTTTCATACTGCTTATCTGTCTTTACATTCTGAGTAATGTTGAAACGTTTTAACTTAAAAAAGAGAAAGCTGTTTTTGGATCGCTGGTGTGTGTGTCGCATTGAACATTACTTCGTGGCAGTTGTGTGTGGCGTCACTATGACGACCAGCTACATTGAGGGGTAGGCTACTATCTGCAATGGAAAACAGTGATGCAAAATGACAACAAAGACCTTCAAATCAACTAAAAAGACACACAAACAACTATAAAAAAACACTATATAACCACAAAATGACCACAAAGTGACGCAAAATCACAACAAAGAGCCTCAAATCAACTATAAAAACACACAAAACAACTATAAGAAACACAAAATGACCACAAAGTGATGCAAAATGACAACAAAGAGCCTCAAATCAACTATAGACACACAAAATTACTATAAAGAAACACAAGATGACCACAGTGATGCAAAATGACAACAAAGACCTTCAAATCAACTACAAAGACACATAAAACAACTATAAAGAAACACAAAGTAACGCAAAACGACTACAAAGAGCCTCAAATCAACTACAAAGACACACAAAAGACTGTAAAGACCGACAAAATGACTTTAAGGACACAGCCTAATAATGCAAAACAACCACCAAACAACCTAAAAGAACGGCAAAATGAAGAAAAATGACCTCAAAGAGGAAGTGGCTGAATAATTTGTATTTCTTTCAGTCTGGAGGGTCTCTGTAGGAGCTGTGTTTGTGTGGCAGGGTCTCATTGTCTCACAATCTGTCTATGGCTGTAAACTATTTGGAGCAATTAGGCTACTTGATATTAGAGTATTTAAAGTTGTTCATTAAATTAAAAAGAATAAATAATGTAACCTGTTACTGTAATAACTCATTAGCCTATTCTTTTAAAAAGCATTTTGGGGTGGTTGTTAAAAACAATCACAAGCCGAGATGACACACACAGAGGCAGGGACATCAGTCTACGGCAGCCACTCACTGCAGTTTCACAGTCATTTTCGGCAAACGTCCTACATATTGGACAGAAAAACAAACTTACCTTTAGCTGAGACTTTTCAAACCGCGATTTCCTCGAGTCTCATCTAGTGAATCAGGATTTATTGATGAAACAACACAAAAAAAAGCAGCTGCACTTCGTTTATTCCCTGTCAGGACGTGTTTTCTTTGCATCCCCCTCCGCGAAACGGTCCGCTCCGGTGCTCCGGTGTGTTTCTCGGTGAGTTGAGTCCTCCGTCTGCTCCCGGACCGATGGATGCACTGAAAGTCACCAGCGCAACATTATAACTGTGCTGCAGGTCGCACCGTCTCTTGCTTGTAACTAGGTAACAGCCTGCTGCACAGAGTCAAGTAGGAGGTGTTAAAATCCTATAGTGTGTGTGCGTGAGAGAGAGAGGCTCATTCCCTGTGTGTGCACAGTCTGTGTGTGTTCTGAAACCAGCCTGAAGAACCATTAAACGCTGAAGAGGTTCCACTTAGAACATGCATGCTACTATAAAGAGAATAAGAAATGTGTGAAGCACTTTACCTCTAATTATTTAGGGTTATTAAACTATGCACAAAAAGTATGGAAATATGTGTTTGGTAAATTATTTCATTGTTTTAACGATGCTTCTTGGCAATAAACCTTATACTATTGGAAAGCCTGTCAATGTCCCTTTTAAAATGGTGTCATATTTGTAAAAACATGCGTTTGGACCCGTTCTCACTTCCAAGTCGTCATATATGGAGGCATGGCGAAGACCCTTCCCCTCAGTTTGTAAGGCAGTGGGGATCTCCATAGCGTCATTGGTCAACGCAGTGGGGGAAGTCCTGCAGTGTCACATTTGGATGGTAAATGTTACAATTAAAGACCAATGCCCCATCCACACTACTCCGTATTAGTTTACAAATGGAGAATTAAAACGAACACATCTCTGTCCTAACCAGCGTTTAAACTGCGTTTTGGAGTTGATCTCCATCTACATTAAAACGACTGAAAACGCACATCAAGGGCCCGTTCAGGTACACTGGGCATGCGCGTGCCAGTGTAAACAGGAAGCAGATGGTCTCTTCCATAGTTAATAAATACAGAGTAAGCATCAGACCAGTTTTTTGGTTTTTTTTGCATGCACCAATAACGAGCTGGGACTGTTACTGAATGTAAAATCGGAGTGTGGCGGTGGAAAACAGACCGGGAGTCGTTGCAAAGTAGCCTAAACGGCGACATGCAAAGTGCAAATGTAGGCAAATAAGTGCACCGTCCATAATATTTTAATAAAAATACATGTCAAAAACCCGGTCAGTAGCATCGTGTTTCTGCTTTACAAGACCCAATCAGAGAGCTGGGCGTGAGCGGCTGTGTCATTGTTTCTAAAGTCCTCCGTTTTGGCCCGTCCTCATTAAAATGCCCTCCGGAGTTTTTAAATCAAAACGGGCTCGGCAGCAACTTCTCCGTTTTAGGTATTCGTTTATGTCTGGACGGAAGGTGCAAACGTAGCAGAAGGTCTCCGTTTTAATTCAAAAACGCAGTAGTGTGGATTGGGCCCAAGTAAGGAGGTGGTTGGGGGGCCAGAAATCAGACTTTCAACAAGGAGGTTCCTCTCCCTTGTAAAATAAAGTCAACATTAAATATTTTTTAAGTTCCAAACCGTGATCTTTTCCTAACCCTAACCAAGTAGCCCACTTTTGTTGCCTAAACCTAAACCTAGTATCTCCCTAAATCTCATTAGGTTTTATTGTTAGTGGCGGAGCCCGCCATCCCTGTCCGTCCCAGGCCGATGCTGAATTCACAGGGAAAGAGGCAGCATGTTATCTTGCATTAATGTTTTCAATTAATAGAGGTGATCCAAGTGTACCCCATTTATAAAATTGAGGACTGAGTTATTTAAGCTATAGGTGTTCTTAATAAACTGTCAACTGATGCATCTAAGAATTCTGTTAATTGCTAATGAACTTTCAACATGTATAGTTTGCAGTAGTTGATGAACTAGCCTACCCAGATTTATTATTTATGAAAAATGAAGTAATACAACATTGTAGTAATACGCTGTTACAAATTAAAGTCCCTTTATTTAAAATCTTACTTAAAGGGGTATATGTAGTTTTTAAATTAATTGAATCTCCTTTTAATTGCCTGTGCATGAAGGGGTTGTTTCGTCACATAAAACGATCCAATTGCCTGCACAACACAGACTCCAACACAAACTTGTAATAATAAAATCCATCAACAAAGTTCGTGGAGCCCCTCTGGACCAACGAGAATCAGATCAATTTCAGGTGAAAACACTGTCAACATTGGAAATGCTTGAATCAAGGAGAGGCTGCCGCTTTGGCTTGAAATGGATAAAACCGAGTTGGCTTTCATCCTATTGGACAGGTAAACTAACGTGACTGCAAAGCATGTGAATATATACCAGAAATCTTATTTGATTATAATTATTAATGCATTAATGTGTAAGCGTCACTAATTTTGCAGTTGATACACATGGGGCTAATTTCAGCTACTTTATGTAGGGTTTCATGGGGTAAGATCCCCCCCCCAGTAATCTAACAAAAAACACAATGTCACAATTTGTTTTTCTCAACATTTCTTCTGGCTGCCCCTCCTCTCACTGAAATAAAAATGTCATCACAATTTTTAAAGTTATTATATAAAAGCCATTTTTACCTAATTTGATCTAAGCTGTCAATTTTTTTTATTGTGTTCAATTTTTATATATATATATATGGTTTGGGATGCCATGTCATCTGCTGGTGTTGGTCCACTGTGTTTTCTGAGGTCCAAGGTCAACGCAGCCGTCTACCAGGAAGTTTTAGAGCACTTCCTGCTTCTTGCTGCTGACCAACTTTATGGAGATGCAGATTTCATTTTCCAACAGGACTTGGCACCTGCACACAGTGCCAAAGCTACCAGTACCTGGTTTAAGAACCATGGCATGCCTGTTCTTAATTGGTCAGCAAATTGGCCTGACTTTAACCCTATAGAAAATCTATGGGGTATTGTGAAGAGGAAGATGCAATACGCCAGACCCAACAATGCAGAAGAGCTGAAGGCCACTATCGGAGCAACCTGGGCTCTCATAACACCTGAGCAGTGCCACAGACTGATCGACTCCATGCCACGCCGCATTGCTGCAATAATTCAGGCAAAAGGAGCCCCAACTAAGTATTGAGTGCTGTACATGCTCATACTTTATGTTCATACTTTTCAGTTGGCCAACATTTCTAAAAATCCTTTTTTTGTATTTTGTCATTTTCGGAGATACTGAATTTGGGATTTTCATTAGTTGTCAGTTTTAATCATCACAATTAAATAAAATAAACATTTGAAATATCATATATATCATATATGTCTGTGTGCAATGAATGAATATAATATCCAAGCTTCACTTTTTGAATGGAATTACTGAAATAAATCAACTTTTTAATGATATTCTAATTATATGACCAGCACCTGTATAGTGGAAATACTCAAGTAAAGTACAAGTACCTGGAAAATTGTACAATTGTACAATTGTACTTAAGCTTAACGTTTCACCACTGGTAGTTTGTGGTGCTGTTGTACTAGGTGTTTGTTATTTATTCTACCCTCATTGATATAAATGGGGTGGAAAAAATATTAGAAACACCTGCCAGTATAACAATTCAACAGCACCACAAACTGCAGCCTCAAAAATGGCCATATAGTTGGAGGATTGTGTATTAGACTGTATCTGACTGAAAACTGGCAACTGAGTGTATATCCTTTACTTGGATCCCCATTAGCTTCCATAAAGTTGCTACTAGTGTTCCTGGGGTCTACATGAAAACAACAATGCAACTAGCAAACAAACAAGAAAAAGCCTAAACAAGATAAAAAATAAAATGAACTCTGCTATTGAATAAAGAGAGAATTGTAGCTTACAGTGAAAACAAAAACATATCTGTCACTGACGTCTCATTTATATCAGCCTCTCTGTTCCCTTTCCTAACGTCACAGCTGTAGTGAGTTTCTGCCAATGCTAAACCAAACAATTCCTACTGCTGCTGCTCCACATCAAAAACATTCAACTCATGAAGCTATTTTTTTGTGAAGCAGTAACGGGTCACTGCTGTTAGCGCTAACCACGACAGTTAATCAGAATCAGTTGTCTGCATTTGATTGAATTAAATTGAAGTATATTATATTGAATACAAAGCCATCCAGAAAGACCAAGGCTAGTTTTCCTTAGACACCTAAACCCATGACCCATTTTTCTTTCTCATTCTGGCTCATATGCAGCTAGATGAACATGTTTTCAACAACCAATGTTTCAAAAGGCAGATTTCTCAGCTTATTTCTTTTCAAATCACACAAGAGAAAAGAAAATCTGTGAAGAGTCAACAAACGGAGCAACGAGAGTCACGATGGTTCCACATTTGAGGGAAAAAAAGAGCACTCCACTTCCTCTCTCCATTTCTATATTATAATTTACACAGAAACAAGTTTTAGGATGCTGTCTGTTTTGCATTTGTGTAGTCTGTTTACATTAAACACCCATATCTGTGTCTTTAGTGGACAAATAGATTACAATTACATGAAGTGTATTTACCCCAAATTTTAGGTTGTCCCTTTAAGCTGATGTACCTTTTTTTTATTTGTGTTAAGTCTTTTGAGTTATTATATTTCCATGTGCAACAGCTAACCAAATACGTTTCCCATGTAAATCTGTAATCTGTGAATTTGTGGCCTGCTTGCATTTTTTATTCTTTTACTGATTTTATCAGCTAAAGACAGGCTCATGTGTCTTGCCCACCATCCCCAGAATTCACCCCAGCAGCGGAGCTGGACCTCGATATAAACCAAGGGAGGCCTGTGTTAGAAGGGATCCAGGGGGAAACAGCCTATGGTACATTATTCTAGCAGACTACTGCATATGCAACATATGACTGACATCGTCTTGCAGTATCTGGCAACACACTTACTCTTGTGGAGCTCCCCGACGATAACATTAATTCAGACAGTATTATTCATAAGAGGCATACAGGCTTGGCACCTGTCAACACTGGGTTAATAGAAGTTCTATTAAATGTGGCATGGTGAAGGCACTTCTGCAGCAGACGATGGGGACACACTGTTGGCTGGAAGAATCATGTCAGTCTTGTGGAAATACTTTAATCAATAACGGATAAGAAGTCAGTGATGTGATGCTCATAGAAAATATATTTATTACAGGACCCAGACACTGTACTGCCTGAGAGCCAGTCTATTACCTGAACATTTACATTACATTAACAGATGCTTTTATCCAAAGTGACTTACATTTAAGGAACAACATACAAGCAACAGTAAAGTTAGAGAGATACAATTAACAACATACGAGCAGCAATAAATACTTGTAA